AGTGTCAAGTTTCTCCTTCCCTGGCAGGCGAGTTCAAGCATCGTGGAACGGCCCCCTGTGCCGTGCACCGCACTGTGAGCCGACTGCACTTTGGGGGCGCGCCGCGAGACACGGCCTGCTTGTCGTCCGGGTGCCACGGGCTCCTCCGCTCCTCGCGCTGCGCGGCGGCTTCCCGTGGCCCCTGGGAGGAGCTGCTGCGCTCGGGGTGCGCTGGGCACCCCACTCGCAGCTCCCGCCCGCGGGTCTCGGGGCTGGGTTCCCTGCGAGGGTTCCCTGCGGCCGCGTCCGCATTGCACACGCCGCTCGCAGGGGTGTTCCTGGACTCCCGGATCCCAATCCGCGTGGGCCACCTGCCCTTTCCAGGAGTCGAGCGGTTGCCCTCTTTCCACCTCTTCAGGGGCGGGCGGAAACCCAGCCTCTTTCCAACGCCTTCCTCCCCTCCCCTTGCGGCTCTGCTTCCCTCCCTTTCGGTTCCTCCTGCTCCTTGCCTGCTGTCTCCGCTTGGCCCCTCTTCTGCCTGCCCAGCCGGCCCTGGCCTCCCGCCTACGCGTTCGTCGTCGTCTGCCTGCTTCTCCCCTCCTCGTCTCCTTCCGCCGGGCTCACGGCCTTCCAGGGACCAGCGTGGCGGCGTGTAGGGCACTACGTGTGACTGGGCGTGTTGCCCTGCCTGCGCGGGGAGGTAGCTCCAACGCCTTCCTGCTTCATGGTTCTACCTACTTCCTCCGACCGACGGGCACCGTTTCAACCGGTCCCCATCCCCAACGGGCCGCTTGGTGTCTCTGTCTACCACACCATCGTACCTCCCTGGTTGCGGCCAGGCCCCTCGGACCCCGAAGGGGGCAGCCCGAATCCTTATCTGGGTGGGGGGTGGGGGGGGGGTAAATCGGCCACCGGGGTCAAGACGACCATGCTAGATTGGATGGGGATTGGTTATAGTCGGGGGGTTGCTTATGGGTATCAGATGCCTGCGGAGGATGGCTCCCCCACGGAGAGGTGCGGGGTGGGCGATTCAGGGCAGGCTCCAGGAGGAGGGCGGTGCGTCGTCGTCGCCGCCGCCGCCGCCGTCGCCGCCGCCGCCGCCGTCGTCGTCGTCGCCGTCGCCGTCGTCGTCACCGTCGTCGCCGTCGTCGTCGTCGTCGTCGTCGTCCTGCCCCTCTTCTGCCTGGGCCCTCGGGGGAGGGGTCGGGGGAGGGAGGTCCTGGCCGTCGCCAGCCCGGCTGCTGGCGCGCTCCGCGCCAGGGAGGGGGGTCCAGCGCAGATCCAAGAAATCCGCGCAGAACGCCGAAAGTTTATGATTGTTCTCTTCTTCAGAGATGGTCAGCCTCGCGCAGAGGGGGGTGGGGGTAGGGGGGAGGGCTTCTTAGAAGCACCCCTGCTTCTGAGAAGGCGCGAGCCCTATATATACATTTACATATACATATACATATACATATACATATACATATACATATACATATACATATACATATACATATACAGATACATACATATATATATAGATATGCAAGGCCGGCGCCTTCTAAGAAGCAGCCTCCTTCTAAGAAGCCCTCCACCCTCCCTCCACCCTCTTGTGCGCGCCGCCAAGATGCTGGCCGGAGCGCGCTCTGGAGGCGCTCCTCCTCCGGCCTCGACCTTGGGGGGAGGCGCCGCCGCCGTCTAGAGCTCGTCTCTGGCGTTCAGTGGTTGTCGTCGCCGCCGACCGTTGATCGCCGACCTCGTCGTCGTTGTTGTCGGCTTTGGTCGTCGTCGCCTTCGGAGGACGAGGACCATGAGGAGCAGGGCGGAGTAATCGAGTAGAGGCGCCTCTGCGTTTCCTCGTGCTTGTCGTCTGTCCCCCTCCCCCTCTCTCATCCTTCTCCTCCTCTCCTCCTTTTCCGCCTGCGTCCTCATCCTTCCCCAATGCTCCATCCTCCCCCCCCATCAACCCCCCGTCCCCCCTTCATGGGTCGTAAGCTCCCCGACGCTCGTTTATGCCCCCATGCTCCAGGGTTGTGCCTCGAGATCGCCAACCTACTGGGTTGTGCCTCTGTGCTCTCCCGCGCTCTCTCATCCGTCCGGTCGCCGAACTCGGCGCGCCCTTTCATTTGGGTATGTCCATTCTGCTTCTCTCTCCCTCTCCTTCTACGGCGACGACGCCCGACTCTGACGACCACGCCCGCGGCCACGCCCACCACGACGGGCGACTACCACCAACCATACCGCGGACGACGCGCGCCGACCCACGACCCGGACACGACCGACGGACCACGATTGCCGACCCATGACCCACGCGCGACTGCCGACTGGCCGGCAGCGAGCGACGGACGACCGGCCGGCGGCCGACGAGCGACGACCGACGATCGAAGGACGCCAGCAGCGAGCGACGACCGGCTGAGGCGACGGCCGACGGGCGGCGAGACGCGCGCGCCCCCCGCAGCCGCAGAGAGAGAGAGAGAGCCCTGGAGGGTTTCTCCGAAGGCCTTAGGCGACCCGTCCCCCTCCCTCTCCCCCTCCTCCTCCTCCTCCTGCTCCCTCCTCCTCCTTCTCCTCCTCCTCCTCGTCCTCCTGATCCTCCCCCTCCCCCTCCTCTTCCTCCTCCTCCTCCTCCTTCTCCTCCTCCTCCTCCCCCTCCCCCCTCCCTCCTCCCCCTCCTCGGATCGCCTGCGCCCCCCGGGGACACCGTGCCGGGGGCCCGGGGGGGGCGCGCCGCGGAGGCCGAGGGCAACGCCGGCGCCGCGCCGGACCACGGCACGCGGAGGACGTTGCGCGCGCGCGGCGCGGCGGGCATGCGGCGCGGGGCGGCCTCCAGGCGGGCAGGTGCCTCCTACAGTGGTGGAGGACGATCCACGGAGAGGAAGCACGTTGCAACATAGTTCCCAGATGTCCAGAGCATAGGTTAAAGCTGTTTGAGCATGTAAGGGACATGTGTTGAGCATGTTCGTGACATTGTGCCAACATTTTGAACACATGTTGTCCCTCCATCGGAGGTGGACAGACTTCCTATCCTGACACGTCGATTAAGGAATTGGCCGGTTTCGGTCCGCGAGAGGGCGTCGCGGCCGTCATTGTTGGGGGGCCAGGTCCGACGGTTTCGGTCCCAGGCCGTTTTCACTGAGGGGAGGTTTTTGTAAAGGGAGGTGTGTCCACCGCCGACTCTACAGTGGTGGAGGACGATCCACGGAGAGGAAGCACGTTGCAACATAGTTCCCAGATGTCCAGAGCATGTGTTAAAACTGTTAAAGCATGTGAGAAACATGTTTTGAGCATGCTCATGACATCGTGCCAACATTTTAAACACATGTTGTCCCTCCATCGGAGGTGGACAGACTTCCTATCCTGACACGTCGATTAAGGAATTGGCCGGTTTCGGTCCGCGAGAGGGCGTCGCGGCCGTCATTGTTGGGGGGCCAGGTCCGACGGTTTCGGTCCCAGGCCGTTTTCACTGAGGGGAGGTTTTTGTAAAGGGAGGTGTGTCCACCGCCGACTCTACAGTGGTGGAGGACGATCCACGGAGAGGAAGCACGTTGCAACATAGTTCCCAGATGTCCAGAGCATGTGTTAAAACTGTTAAAGCATGTGAGAAACATGTTTTGAGCATGTTCACGACATGCTGCCGACATTGTAAACACATGTTTTCATTCGATGATCGGACTGTTAGGGTGTCCATTGCCGCGGCATCCACAACTCTACAGGAGGAATACCCCCAAAATAGTCAAAAGGTATTCGGAAGAGGAGTTTAGTATGTTTGGCAATTTGTGCGTATTGATAGACGATGTTGCATGTGTCGTCCAAGATTTAAGTCGGGCCTGTCCCTCAGGAGGAATATTCATCAATAGTCAGAAAATAGTCTGGGGACGATTGTTTGACTATTTTTGCTAATTGAGGGGGTATTGTTTTAGGATTTTCCATTTTTCGCTCAAAATCCCGCTGTAGGAGGACACGCACGACTTAATCCAAGATCCCGCCTGTAGGAGGACATGCCCTGCCGAAGGCGTTGCGGCAGTCAGCGCCAGCAGTCGAAGAAGAGGAAGCGGCATAAGCATATAAACGTTTGGCGCTCCGCGCTAATTTCTCGGATCGGCGTTGGCGGAGGACGCCATGGGGTGAGGGCGGGGGCGAGCAGGACAGCCTTGCTGATGATGAGGAGGGCCCCAGGAAGGGAAGGGCCTCCATTCCTTCTCCCTCTCCTCCTCCCTCCTGCCTCATGCCTCCTCCCCCCTTCCTCCTCCCTCCTCCTCCTCCTCCTGCTCCTCCTCCTCCTCCTCCTCCTCCTCCTCCTCCTCCTCCTCCTCATCCCTCCTCCCTCCTCCTTTCTTATCCGCGCCCCTGTCCTTCCCCGCCTCTTCTTCTTTCCGCTTCCCCCCTCCTCATTCGTCAGGGAGGATGGAGGTTCGGATGCAGGGGCCGGAGGAAGAAGGAAGCTTAGGGAGGAGAAGGAGTGAGGTTCAAGAAGGAGGAGGAGGAGTAGAAGGAGGAACAGGACGAGGCGGACAGGGGGATTACGGGAGGATGGTGGATGGATATGATGAGGAGCGGTATATTGAGGATTGATGGATGCCCGAGGCGGGAACACGGGGGACATACGAAGGAGGAGGGGAGGAGAAGAGACGAGAGATCAGGGATGCGGACCATGTGGGGGAAGCGGAGGGAGCAGGGCAGTGAAAGGAGAACGAGAAAGCAGGGGGAGTCGAAGGAGTAGCATGAGGAGGATGGTATGGTGCAGAAGGACTGATGATATTGAGAAGCAGCGAGGATGGAAACTACTGACCAGGATGAGGAGAGTGGATGAGGAGATGCAGATGAAAAGGAGGCTGAGGGCGCCGAGGCCAAGGGCGACGATGAAAAGGGTGGGTGAGGGCGAGGAGGCAAGATGATGAGGAGGAGGAGGAGAAGAGAGGGAGGTCCTGCGGCCATTTGGGTTCCAGTGCTCCAGCGCGTTCGTTGATCGGACTCCCTTCGGTAGAACGACCCGCTAACCTTCAATCAAGCTATTTCGTTGTCATTACTTTACGTGTAAGCTGATGTCGGTGCTCCAGTGGTTCTCCGACGTGTTCTCCGCCGGACTTTCAGAGCTCTTCTATTCTCCATTCTCTTCCGCCCATCCCATCATCCGCATCGTCATTCCTCTTCGTCCTCGTCCTGATCATGCCTCTCCGCCCCCTGCCCGCCTCCTCCTCCTCCTCCTGCTTCTTATCCTCTTATTCGTACCTTCATCTTCTGAGGTGCAGAGATTCCTAGGGGCGTCGTTCAAATGGACTGAGCGGGGCTTCTTTGAGGGGCCGGGTCAGGTTGTGTGTCGAGATCGCGCCGCATAGTTAGCCGAAGCATCGGCAATGCGAAGCGGCCATGGGACCCGATGATCCATCGAGTTTGCCGATGCATCTGCGATACTGTGCGATCTTGCATTTCCAGTCACTCCGTCCCCATTCGAGAGACCCTCAGGATCGCAGTCCGAGATCTTGCAGGCAGGCTTGGAGGAGGCAGTAATGATCGTCGTCTTCGCGGTCGCCATTTCGCTTCACACCTTTCTCTTCGGCGGGTTCGGTGCGAAAGCCAAACCGAGGAAGGGCGTCAAGGGCAGCATCAAGACGAAGGCGTCTCCAGACGTGAAGGAGGTCTCGAAGTCATAACACTGTATAACTTTAAGTTGACTTAGGTCCACGCCGGTTTCTTAGGTCGGCGCTGGGCACCCCTTCTCTGGTGCGCGGAGCGCGGCGGTGGCGGCGCCAGGGGTGCCGCCAGGGGTGCTGGGGGGGGTTTCTGGGAGGGGGGCCTAGCGCCGACGCCGGACCCGCGATGACCTCCTAGAGTTCCCCAGAGTGTGCTTGCACTGAGGCCATCTGATTTCCCTTCTAGGTCACTGGCTGGGGCTCCTGGGTATTCGCCCAGTGGGCGTCCCTGGCCATTTCGCAGCACGCGCTAAGCTGGCCATCTGCGAGGTAAGAGGGATGACCACATGTTGAAACATGTTTTGACCGGTTGGGTCGACCCGCTTTCGTTTCCTGATTCTCCTCGTTCATTGTCGTGGCGTGCACCGTCTTTGCTCCCAGCGTTTGCCCTCCTCCTCCTCCTTCCCCTCCTGCTCCTCCTCCTCCTGCTCCTCCTCCCCCTCCCCTTCCTCCTCCTCCTCCTCCTCCTCCTCCTCCTCTCCTCCTCCCTCTCCTCCCTCCTCCTCCTCTCCTCCTCCTCCTCCTCCTGCTCCTCCTCCTTCTCCTCGTCCTCCTCTCCTGCTCCTTCTCCTCTCCTCCTGATCCTCCCCCTCCCCCTCCTCCTCCTCCTCCTCCTCCTCCTCCTCCTCCTCCTCCTCCTCCTCCTCCTCCTCCTCCTCCCCCTCCTCAATCTCCTCCTCTTCGCAGTCTTCTCCTTGCCTTCCTCCTTCCTTCTCCTCCTCCTCCTCCTCCTCCTCCTCCTTCTCCTCTTCCTCCTCCTCCTCTCTCCTCCTCCTCCTCCCTCCTCCTCCTGCTCCTGCTCCTGCTCCTCCTCCTCCTCCTCCTCCTCCTCCTCCTCCTCCTCCTCCCCTTCCCTCCCATGGGTAGATTTTGGTTGTTTTGGGCGCCTGTTTCGAGCAGGTGGAGTCTCCCCTCGTGGGAGGCACTGTCGCAAACAGCCGCGCTAAGCAGAGGCCTGGAGCCAGACCCCCTTCCTCCCCCCCCCCTTTTCGCCCAGGGTCGAAACGCCGAATCAACAAAAACGCTCTCGATCTCCAAGACGGCCCAACAGGGCCCCGCGGTGGCCCGAAGAGGGCCCCACGACGGCCCCCCCAGGTGGCCTCAAGGTGGTGCCGCCCGAAGCACTCCTCCAGATCGGGGCCTGTCGTTGAGGCAGACCTGGAGTATTTCTCTGAAGGGCTTAGGCGACCCGTCCTCCTCCTCCTCCTCCTCCTCCTCCTCCTCCTCCTCCTCCCTCTCCTCCTCCCCTCCTCCCCCTCCCCTCCCCCTCCCCCTCCCCCTCCCCCTTCTCTCCTCCTCCTCCTCCTCCCCCTCCTCAATCTCCTCCTCCTTCTCCTCCTCCCCCTCCTCCTGCGCTCCCTCCCCCTCTTCCTCCATCTCCTCCTCCTCCTCCTCCACCTCGTCTGCGGCCCCGGGGGGAACCGTGGAGGCAGACCGTGGTTCGCAGCACGTTAGCCCGCCCTCCTGGAAAGGGCGCGCAAGGGGCCTCCAGAAGCTGCAGAGAAGCTCCTGAAAGGATTATCGCGAGGCCCCCAGGGGCTTTCCAAGGAGGATGAGCATCCACAGAAACAGCTGAGGAGGACGTGGAAGCGGACCTTTTGGGGTGCCTTTTTGGGCCTCTTGGGCGGCCCTTGGGGCCTCTTGGGGGCTTCCTGGCCGTCTCGAGGTTATCTTGGCCCAGGGGAGCTCCGAAGGTCAGGTTACAATTTCCTCTCGTGGTCCGTTTTTGGAACCTCTTTGGGCCGTCTCGGGGCCATCTTTTGGGTCGTGTGGGCCGTCTTGGGGCGATCTTGAGGGCCTCTTGGCCGTCTTGGGCGGTCGGGGGCCCAAGAGGGCGAACGCTCGAAACGCGACACGTATGACCTCGATTGCAGCCCACAGGGTCTTACACTTTGGGGCCCCTCCAGGGGGTCCTCTTGGAGCCCTCCTGGGGGGCGGTCGGGCCGTCTTGAGGCCTTCTTTTGCGTCTCGGAGAGCTCCTGGCCCAGAGGGCTTGAACGCTCGTTCGTGTTCACCCCAGTGGGAGTATGTTCGTGGATGCTGGTTCGAACGAAGCTGCCATATTTGGCCCGCGGAGCAATCCTTCGAAAAGTCCCCAGTGGTCTGCGAGAAGCCCCATGAGCGCCCGAGAGCGCCTGGACCTCTGGGGTGTGGGCCCTATACATGGTATTCTCTGAGAGACCCTCGAGGACACTCCACGCAGTACCTAGCGGCACTGTGGCGGATCTTGCACCGTTTAGATTGCACTGCATTTCTTTCACCACGCAGATTGTTTCCCACATGATGCGCAAAGTATATTGCACCACATAGGTTGCACCGCATCTGTTGTCAGAGTGACGGGGCCGAACGGTCATTCATTGTCCCTGGGTGCGTGGCTGAAGTGGGGATTCGTGGTGAATATTCTGCTTGTTGCGTCGTTGGTGGTGTTTTTGTTTTTGTTGCGGTTGCTGCTGCTGTTGTTGTTGTTGTCGGTGTTGGTGATGGTGTTGTTGTGGTTGTTGTTGGTGTTGTTGTTGTCGGAGTTGTTCTTGCTGTCGGAGTTGTTGTTGTTGATGTTGTTGTTATTGTTGGTGTTGTTGTTGGTGTTGTTGTTGTTGTTGGTGTTGTTGCTGGTGTTGCTGCTGTTGTTGTTGGTGGTGTTGTTGGTGGCGGTGGTGTTGGTGTTGGTGTCGTTGTTGTTGCTGCTGCTGTTGCTGTTGTGGTTGTTGTTTGTGGTGTTGGTGTTGTGGTTGTTGTTGTGGTTGTTGGTGTTGATGTTGTTGTTGCTGTTGTTGTTGTTGCTGTTGTTGTTGTTAGTGTTGTTGTTGCTGTGGTTGTTGTGGTTGATGTTTGTTGTCGTCGTCCCCACCTCGACCCAGCCGACCCACCCGCGACCCACCCGCGACCCACCCGCGACCCGTCCCGCGACCCGCCCGCGACCCACCCGTGACCCACCCGCGACCCACCCGCGACCCACCCGTGACCCAGCCTGCGACCCACCCGCGACCTTTTTTGCGACCCATTATGCGACCCGCCCGCGACCCACCCGCGACCCACCCGCGACTCACCCGCGACCCACCCGCGACCTGGCCCGCGACCCACTTGCGACCTTCCGGCGTTGCGTAATGGGGGGGTCATAAATTTGGGGGTGGCGAGGGTGGTCCGAAAAGGTACCCAAACAGTACCCAAACGAGCCCCAAAGGGGCACGAAAGGAGACCGTTTCTGACCCCCCCCCTTTTATGACACCTCCAGTAAGCCACGCCCAAGACCCACTCGCGACCCACTCACGACGGACCTGCGACCCACCCGGCGATGCACCAACATTTCTTTAACCACCACATAATTGGTGCCTGCAGCGGGCTCGTAATTTGTCAGACTTTGGCGCCTGCGGCGGAATTCTTCAGAGCCTCGCAGACTGCCGACGTCCCCGCTGCCCCCTCACTCTTATCCGCAACTGCGGGGTGCTACGTACCACATATTTGGCACTCTACCTATTGCACCGCATATGCTGCAGCCTACAGATTGCACCACATAGCTCGCGCAGTCTAGCTTGAGCCATTTTGATCTACCCCCCACATGTTCTACCACACAGATTGCACCGCCCAGACTGCATGCCATAGATCGCCGCACATATATACACATATATTTTTATATATGTATATATATATATACATATATATATAATAGGGCGCACAACGAGGATGCAAGAGCCTGCTGCTTGGGGCCCAGGCTGGCCTTACACCGATGCCCTTGCACATGCTTGCCTCATTGACAAGGTCGGCGATCGCAAGGGCACCGCGTCCGCGAGGGACGACGCCGCCGCTTTCCGCGCGGGCGTCAGGTCCACCTCCAGAATATGTCCACGACCACCGCTTCGGGGTCGTGCCCTGGGAGTTCGAGGAGCAGCGGGTATGGACGCCTGCCCGCCCGCACAGGCGAGGAGATGTCGATATGCACTGCCCCCCGCAGGCCCCGGGCCGCGACCCCTCGGTAGTTGACGTGGATTTTTCTTGGCGACGCCTCAGGGACCTCCGTGCCGCGCTGGCCGCCTCCGACCTCCACGCCGCCCTGCGGCACCTCCGCACCGTAGCGCCCCAGTGGCGTGCCGCCGGCGACGCGACGCCGTCCGCCGCACCCGACGGGCTGCTGCAGGGCCTGGTGCGGCTGGCGGTGGAGCAGTCGATGGTGCCGCTGCTGCTGGCCGCGCTCGGGCAGTGCGGCCTTCTCACGGAGCGCGGATGAAGCGAAGTTGCTCGTGGCTCGCCACCGCCGCCCGCGCGCGGCGTCGCGCGCCCTTCGCCGCCTCGTCTCGGAGGGAGGAGAAGCGACACCAACACCACCAGGGGGGCACCTCCAGCCAGAAGGTCCACGATACCGCCCCGAGCTGGAGGCTGGGCATGTCTCGAGCGAGAGGGGGGACCACATCACTGGGAAGACCCCCCTTTGCTCTTCGCATCTATCTTCCCCCTGAGGCTGGTGGTGTCGCAGTTCCTTGCTCCTGTCGGCTTCGTTCCCCATCAGGCTTTCGGCCCCGCCCCGCGCCCCTGTCCGCGTCGTCTCGTCTGCGGGCCGCGCTCGGCTGCTCGGGCGGTGGGGCGCCCCGAGGGCGCGAAGTTATTCGTGCATCGCAGCTCGCGGTACGCGATTTCTCGTCCTCAGCTCGTCGAGCACAAGAGAGCCCCATACCAATGAAAAACCCGATGAAGACGTGGCCTACAGTCGGGGCGCTGAAAAAGGAACCCTGTTCGTTGGGGAGGGGCTCCGTGTTCCTTAGTTGTTTCGCAGTTTGCCTTGGGTTTTCTTTAGGTCTTCCATGGAAACCGAAGTTCAATGTGTGGAGAAGAGGGGCATCGTTCCTTATTTAGGGTTCCTTAGGTCAACGCCCCGACTGTAACTGAGGTCCCCGTCGTTGAATTATGCCTAATACATCTGGGCGGCTCGGCTTGGTACACCTGCAGGGAAGACCCCCTGCCACTGAGTTCCTGGGCCTTCCAGCTCAGGTCCCCTCCCAGAGGGTTAAGGAGGATGATGAGGAGGAGGCGGAGGAGGAGGGGGAGTAGGAGGATGATGAGGAGGAGGAAGAGGAGGAGGAGTTGGGGATCGTCTTTTTGCTAGTCATCCGCCTCCTTGTTCTCCTCTCCTTTACTGGGGGGGCGTCGCGAGAGAGCGAAGTGCTTCGCGCGAAGCGCGAGCATGGCTGCCACTAAGAAGAACATGATGTACAAGCATAGACTTACGTGGGGCACGTCCCTCTACAGGAGGAATATTCCAAAGTAGTCAAGAAGATAGTCTCGGGACCATGTTTCAGTATGGTTGGCAATGTTTCCCAACTTCTTCATTTTTCGTCCATAAGTCCGCCTGTCGGAGGATATGCCCGACCTAAGGATAAACTGTCAGAGTCTCGCGCGGATTTCGTGGATCTGCGCTGGAGTCCCCCTGGCGCCGCCCCTGGCGCTCTCCGCGCGCCTAGGAGGGGGTCCAGCGCTAATCCAACAAATATCCGCGCGGAGTTTCGAACGTTGATGTTTCTGTTTGTCTTTCGATCTTCCAGGAGCGCGTGGTGGAGGCGGTGCTCAGGGACCCGGCGCAGCGGGCGAGCGCGGCGTCAGTGTTGCAGGTCCTCAGGGGGGGGAAGGGCCCGTTTCCGCCGCTTGGGGCCTCCTGTGAGGACCTCTTGACATGAGCTCGCCATGGAGACACTTAGTCCCCGCCCGAGACGACAGGTAGGGGTCGCTAGGCTTCAAGAGCAGTTTTTCCGGCCCGCCCACTCTGCATACCTCAGGAGGAGACAAAAACAACAGACACAATTAATCGTCGATTCCCCAGAAAATATGCGAAAATATTGGAAAATATGGGAAATCCTTTTATTTGTGTGTATGTATGTGTGTGTCCCAGGGCCCCTTCAATACCGTGGCCGCCAGATCCCCAGGTTCACTCAGAGTCTCCGAGGCTCCTCGCCCCTCCAGATCCGACCCGCCCAGTCTGCATTCCGCGGCCGCCAGATCCCCAAGTCCACCCAGGATCCCCGAGACCCCCGCCCCTGCGAGCATGACAGAACCTAAGTGGCATCACAGATCACAACATCCAATAGCACGATACATCATAACCGGCATCACGTAGTAAACATTACCGCTGGAGCAAGATCAATCGTATTGCCAGAACAGACAACAAAACACGTCACAGCCGAGCACAGCATCATGTAACAGGACACACCATAGCATTACAACACATGCTACGACAGAGCGGAGTACACAGGATACCCGAGCATCACACAGCGTACCATAACAGTGTATAGCACACCATAACCGTATTGTTCACATGCTACGGCACAATAGACTACAGACACTTACCCATAGCATTACCATATCATGGCATTACAGACATTAACAGATCCCGGCTTCGCAAATCAAAGCATACCATAGTATGGCACAGCATACCATGAAATAACGTGGCATACCAACCGATATAGCACCATGCTATGTGACAACAACTAATGTAGTAGCATGCCCTACCGTCACATACGACATCATACCACAGTGCAGCATGCCAGTGCCTAGCATGCCATAACACACCACCGATTTGTACATCATCACACAGCAAGCCACTGTATGAAAGATCGGAGCATCATGAAGTATAGCCTGCGAGTTCCTAACATACTATACCATACTTGTTGTGCTGTTCGACCGCGATGGCAACCTATGTTTTCGAAGACCATGTTCAAGAGGAATTTCATGATGTAGCAGAACATACGATCACATAACATACCATTATAAGTTTGATTGGGCGCAACGTGACCAACATATATAATATACTTGCTGCACGGTTGCTACCAGTACGGCAACGGCTATGACACAGCATCCTGAGCAGTATACGTTCCGAAGAGGTATACCATACATTGAACAGAGCATGGCACGACCCAATGAGCATATCATAGCGTAAATGTCATAACAGTGTATAGCATACGATCGCAACAGACACTACCAATGCTTCTTATTGTCAAGCTGGGCATAACGTAAGATACGTTACATAGTGGGGCGAACTCTACTTAAGAGGCATCACGAACTTGACTATGCAATCATATTATCAAACGCGCCGTGCGCGCCGAGGTCAGGGTGGCAACCGAAACGCACGGGCGCAGGAACTACCGATTGGACGACGTATGCATCGTTTCAGGCGTCACGACGTTACGTTGGCCCGTCGAAACATGTCATAATTCAGCATAACACAGCCTGACGGAATATAACATAGTTGAACATTGTTGAATGCAGCAGCGACCGATGAATATTGCCTTGTCAAACGAAGCATTCACGCCGACAGAAAGATGTCCACAGGTCAAGCACAGGCGCAGCAACGAGCGATTGGGCGACATAACAGTCGTGACAGGCGTCACGACGTCACGCCGCCCCGTTGAGGGCCGAACCACACAAACCGTGTGTGCGTAGAACGGAGCAGAGCTGAAGATAACGTCACGGAGTAGAATCCAGCAGAGATCGAGCGATGCCGTCCAGTCATATGCGACATGCGCGCCGCATCCACGCTGGCCACGGTCCGACTAGACGACATATCAAACGTGACAGCCGTCTTGACGTCACGCTGGCCCTTGCAGAACGAGCATAACATAACACAGCGTCATGCACTACACTGGGGCAGAGTCCCAGCAAGCAGAAGATAGCATCATAGTTTACAGCAGTCACGAAATCACGGCGTCTCCCCCTCAAAGAGCATCAGAACATGATAGGCCGTGCCATAATATTGTCAAACGCGTCGTGCGCAGCGAGATCAAGTCTACAGGAGCAAATTGGCGCAGCAACGGCCGATCGGACGACGTATCTAACGTGACAGGCGCCACGACATTACGCCGGCCCGTCGGGAACACACCATAACATAATACCGATGTACATATTCCCCAGGCCGAAAGTTCCGCCTCTTGGATGAAAACATATGAGGGCACGGATGGATCCAATTGGATCTTTCTTCGGGTGTGCGATAGTGTTGTAGATCCTATTTCTGTCTTTCGCGGATCCACTTCCCCGTGTGTGAAAAAAAACAAGTTGATCCGGTTCTGTTCCGTGGATAAATTTAGAATCCGAATTAACATCCTCAATATTGGGGAAATTGGATCCGCGGGGCACCGCACGTGAAGCATCTTGCTATCCACGGAACTGTGGATCTGCTGACCAAAGCTATGACTATACGGTGGAAGGGGGGTCTTTCCAGGACGGAGATGAGGTTGCTCGAAGACCACAGCGGGCCTGGCCAACTCCCGCATCCCCTCCCGTAACATATGGCGCGCCCTAAGCCGAAGAGAGCGCTACATGTATCCGCTCACCTGAACTGCACGTCGTTTCCGACATTTGGGGCTCAAGGGGATTTTGTTCGGCTTGCGTAAGTATGAGAACATGTTGGACAATCCAACACAGTTGCATATCGTGAGTTGAAGCAGCGACAAATTACCGGCGCCGACGTAACGGGGGCCAGAGAACAAAAAGAAGGCGCAGCAACGACCCATCAAACGTCACGGCGCCCCGTGGAGAGCAGAACACGAACCATATGGGCAAGTATCATAACATAACCGAACGTAACGTGATAGGGTATGCTGGCGTCTTTTTATTCGCGACTGGCGCGCCGAGTTCCGGCTGGCCACACGCAGAAACAGCACCAGGTTGGGCAACGAACGCCAAACATTTCGGGGGGGATCGCTCGAAACAGGAAGGTCCCATCCCCATGCGATAACGGGCGTCGCCTGGGAGAGGGGGGGCTGGTCGCGTCGCGATTCTTCGCGCTGTCCGCCTGGACATGCCTAAGGATGGCTGCGCTTCCCACAAAGCGCCAGGTGAAGAGTCCAGGCGGGGTGGGTGAGAGGGGGGCGGGGCCGGTCACGGGCGGTATCGCGAATGATCAAGGGGGCGTGGAGTAGCCATGGGTCCCGTTTGCATGGGATATCGCGGATTTCCGCCGCCGAACAAGGCGGCACCGGCCGGAGGGCATGTTCCCCGATCCATGGATTTGGCGACCGCGCGCCAAATCCATGCATCGACAGTCCATGTTTGCGCGCCCCCGATCATGGTATCGGCATCCCTTGGCTTCCCAAGGTCTTGCAGCTCGCGCAGGGGCAGGGCATCGCTCCCACGAGCGCCATGAACTGCGCGCTGATCGGGGCCCTCGGCGTGGAGCGCCGCGTGCAGGAGGCGCTGGCGGTCTTCGACGCGTGCGCGGAGAAGCCCGCCTGCCTCCACAACGCCATCCTGGGCGTCCTCGTGGGCCACTGTGACATGCCAGGCGCGGAGCGCATCCTGGCGGGCGCATCTGCGGCAGGGGTGGCCGACGCGACCACCTACGGCACGGTCATCAAGGCGTACCTCAAGGGCGGGAATGTGCAGCCCGCGCGCGCCACCATGGAGGCGATGCGGGCCGCCGGGCTGCCACCGAGCGTGGTCATCCTCAACGAGTTCCTCAAGGCAAGCCTCGCGAGCGGCAGCGACGACTTCTGGAAGGTCATCGACGACATGGTGGCGTGCGGGGCTCACCCAAACCAGGTCACGTGCTCGATCCTCCTCAAGAACATCCAGTCCTCGTCCTGCGCCGCGGACGTCGAGCGCACCATGGCCGTGCTGAATCTCATGGGCGACCAGATGGGCGGCTTCACTGGCAGCATGGGTGACCAGATGGACGAGGCCCCACAGAAGGCACCTGTACACCACCGCCGTGCCCGCCTGGGGCCATCCTGGACCCCAGAATGGCGTGCAGACCCTGGGATGCCACTCCTGTGAGGCTCAGCGCAGCCTCAGCGCTGGCACATCCGTGTTCAAACAGAGGCCCATCCTGGCATAAACCCGCTCGGCCCAGCTCAACCTCGCTCCGTGTGGCTTGTGCCCGCTTCACCTTTGGGCCCAATCCGGGCTAGTTCGGCTCCCTGGCGCCCTACTCGGGCCTGGCAGGCCCGAGTCGTTCTTGCGAGGGCCCCCCCAGGAGCTGCCTCCTGCCAGACCGCCTCCTGGCACCGGCCAGGAGGCGCGCACGCCACGCCAGGGTCCCAGGGCGGCCCCGGCCTGGCGCGGTGGTGGTGCGCGGGTGCCCTCTGCTCGAGCAGTGGCGAGGCGTCTCGGCTTGCTCACAGGCCCACCGAAGACTGTTCTCAGAGCCTCCTTGTGGCTTGCGCGAAGTGTCATTCGGACAGTTCCCGCTGATGCCGTCCCGTTTCAACTCATCTGCCTTGTGTTCCGAGAGCGTTGATGTTTCTGGGGTAAGGACATGCCTGTAGGAAGGACACATGGCCGTCTTCACAGACATTGGCGCGGAAGCGTATTGCGCAAGGTCGCACGTAAGCGCCTTCGAGTCTCATGTGGCGCGCCGCGCCTGCAGCCCGCGCAAGCCGCCGCGCAGGGTCGCCATGCCAGCGCAGGTGAGACCCATCCCTGCCCGTCACCCGTCGCGTGGTGGGCCTGTGGGAGTGCGGGACGGTCGGTCTCTGCTCCACTTGCCCACGAGGTGCTGCTCTTCTCGGCCTGCGAGGCGGCCGTCCGCGCGGGGCGCGCGGACCTGGTGCACAAGCTCCTCGAGCGCCTGGGCGGCGAGGGCGGCGCGCGGGTGCGCGGCGCCCAGACGTACGGGAGCATCATCCGCGCCCGTGGGTGCCCCGGCGGCGTGGCGCAAGCGAGCGACGCAGACCTGGGGGCCTCCCGGGCGCGAGACCGACAGAACGAGGCGCGCGTGCGCGAAGCCACGGTTCGAAAGTGCGCGTTGCGCGGACGTTTTGTGTCACGAGGCGGGTCTCGCAGACGGGGGGTCGTGGTCGTGTGCGTGGTCGGGGGCGCGTGCGTCTTTTGTGGGCTCCCCGAAAGTGGGGTCGGAGGGGGGTCGGAGGGTCGCGCCGCAGCGCCGATGCACCAGCGGTGCGGCTCGATGTGGTGCCCGACTTCCTCCGCGCTGGCGTCGCCGATGCATCGGCGAAGAATAAAAAAAACGCACAAAAAGCTCAGAAGATGCCCAAGAATACTCAAAAATAGTCCCCTGACTATTTTTTACTATTTTGGAATATTCCCCCTGTAGAGGGGCAGGCCCGACTGAAGTCTAGGTCGGCGCCGAGAACGACGAGGTCGATGGGGCGCCGAGGGGATGCAGCGCGGCGCGAGGCAGTGCACGGGGCCAGCAGCGGCACGCACGGTGAGCCTCCGCCCCCACGTACTCGGACCCCACGTGGGAGGCGTCCATGTAGTGTCGCTAAAACCAGCGCAACCGAGACTGACATGCCCAGCAGTTCGGTTGTGACTCATGGGTGCCTCGTGTGTCATCGAGAGACCGTGTTTGTAGGGTGCATTCGCGTGCGTTAGCAGCTGGTATGCGATGAGAAAGCGCCGACTTGGCGTCGATTAGCGTCGACGTAGCGTCGATTATCACTGATTCGCAAGAGCCAGCAAGATGAAGTCTGAGGCTCCCATGAGTTGCCGCAGAGCAGTCACGGTGGGTCCCGCAGCTCGGAAGAGGGTGGCAGTCAGTCGGCATCAGCCGCCAGGCAACGACATTCCGCGCAAAGGGCTCAGCCAGAGAGCCAGATCCTGCGAATTCAGATTTTGGATGACCCAGCTTTGGGAAGCCCCCTCAACATTCCAGCGCTGTTGTTTGTACACTGGCTGAGCCGGGCTTGCGCTAAGCTGGCTTAGTCCACGTCCGAGGCAGGAAAGCGGCAGGATAGCGCTGATCTCGCGCGGATTGGGCAGGGAAGTGGCAGTACGGCGCCAAGTTCTTGCATCGGTCGAGATCACCTATGAGGGTGGCGCTGCGGGTCTTCCTCTGCGTGTCGCCCGGGAGCTGCTCTCAGCCGCCTCGCCTGGACGCACCTCAGATCACTGGGCAGCGTGGCATGGTGCTCTGGAGGGGGCCCTCGAGGTCCGCAGAGCGCTGGGCAGCGTGGTGCCCTGGAGGGGGCCTCGAGGCCCGCAACCCCAGCCGGTGGCCCCCCCGGCGGGGCAGGGGCCGCGGCCTCCGAGAATGTGGTGGTGGTGGCTTGGGCAGGCGATCTGGTGAGGCCTCGGGCACTGCCTCGAGCGGCACCTCCCACTCAGGGATGGCTGGGGGACAGCTCACCACCTGTCGCGGGGGTCTAGTGCCGCAACGCCACGGCGCCACTTGGTCCGGGAGACTCCCAGGGGGCACCACCCAAGGTTGGGGGCCTCCCGGGGGCCGAGGAGTCGCAGGCACGGCTCGGGGCGAGCGCGCCGGCGACGGCTCCCGCTTCCGGGCAGCGTCGGCGCGCTCCGGCGCCAACGCGTGCGGCATCGGCCTCGTGTGTCGCGGGGTTCGAGCAGTGGCGAGGCGTCTTGGCGTGCCTATAGCCCTACCGAACAATGTTCTAAGAACCTCCCGCGGTTTCCACGAGGTGTTCTTGGAACATTTCTGGCGGAGGCCTGTCATGGTTCAACACATGGGGCTTATGTTCTAAGAACATTGTTGTTGTTATGAGAACACGTTCGGGTTCTGATAACACTTCGTGGTAGGACTATAGGAATGCCGGGACGGTCGGTCCCTGCTCAAGGGGTGCCTTCCCAGGTTGCTGGATTTGGCGCCCACGCGCCAGGTCCACGGATCCGTGAGGAGCTTATACCTGCTGCAGGTCGGCCCGTGCGGAGTTCAGGGTCTGCGTGGCAATTCTCTGACTCGCGCCGTGCCCTTACATGCAGTGGAGACCCATGCCAAGCAGCACCCTGCTTGCCTCCAGGGTGCACTGGGTTTTCTTGGCTTTCGATGGTTTTGCGATGGAAGGCGTGACGGTCCCACACCCAAAGTCAGCGACGTCCTGGTGTATCAGGGTTGGGTTTCTTGTGGAAGGTCTCCTGTGGTCGGGCCTCCACTGTAGCTGAGTGTTAAACCCTGGTGGTCGCGCTCCTTCCTTACACCTGTCACGTTTACACCACACGTGGGAGGGGTGTGCCGAAAGCGACGCGCGGTGGGCGGAGAGCCGCACGTGGCCGCACGCCCGGGGGCCGTGGAGCTTCGCTATGAGGCCACGACGCGTGCGCGGGGTGTGCCAGCATGGGCATGCGGAGGACAGGCAGGGAGGTGGAGGAGGGAGGAGAAGGAGGAGGGATCGGGGAACGAAGAATGACGTAAACATGAAATCTCGGAGGCCCGCGCGGATTTATAGGATCGGCGCTGGACCCCCCTACCTGGCGCGCGGAGCGCGCCAGGGGCGGCGTTGAAGGCGCCGCCAGCGCCGCCCCTGGCGCGCTCCGCGCGCCAGGTAGGGGGGTCCAGCGCCGATCCGAGAAATCCGCGCAGACCTCAGAGTTGCTATGCTCATCTCATCCTTCGCTCCCCCAAGAGAGGAGAAGGAGAAAGAAGGAGCGAGACGCGGGAAGCTGTACCTTCAAACCGCGGACCCCACGCCACAGGATGGTTGGGAGCAGCAGGCCCAGGGACACCAGCGAGTACCCGACAGAGGCCTTCCCGCCTGCACAAGACGCCATCCCAAGACGCATCTGAGCCCTGCGGTGCCCCTTGCCGCGGTCGGCCAGTCCGCGTGAGCCCTGCGCCAGGCGTGCGTCGGACAGGGATATGTCGCTCCAGGGGCTTCCGGAACGCTCTCAGAGCGTGCCAGACCGCTCTGGAGCGGCCGCGACGCCCGATGCATCCTCCAGCACCGCCGGATCTCAGGGGTCCCCTTTTTTCATCTCTGTCCGAGCTTCTCCCTGTCCCGGCTTCGGCTTCCCAGGCATGCCAGGCATGCGACGTCCTGCTTCTTCCCAGGACGGGGCCCCCGGGAGCCCAGGCCCTCTCCCCGCGGGGCCGGTTTGTCGTCCTGAGTCATTCTTTTGTCGGTCCCGAGGCCCTGCGAGGGCCCCCCGAGGCCGAAATAGGCCAAATCAGAGCGTGAGTTACCTACCCCGCTTTCGCTTCCACGCAAAAGCAAGTCATACCACGCGCCTCCTCGTCAAGCGGCCTAACCAGTGCGGGCCGCAGTTTGGCATGGCTTGGTACCTCTTGGAAGCGAGGGTGGTCAGAAGCGAGGTGCGTCTGCTTGCTCCCTACCAAAAGACGCCCGTCTTTTTTTTGGAGGAGGACAAGGAGGACAAGGAGGAGGAGGAGGAGGAGGAGGAGGAGGAGGAGGAGGAGAACGAGGAGGAGGACGAGGAGGAGGAGGAGGAGAACGAGGAGGAGGACTTTTTTTTGTTGTTGTTGTGCCACGACGCGATCGCGTCGGGGCTCGCGTCTGGGCGCTCTCCCGGCGGCCTCCGAGAGCCCGCGGTCGGCCCGGCCCGCGCGCCGGCCCCCTGCTCCGCGAGGCGGGGGGGGGGGGGTCCGGGAGCCCTCGCCCGGGGGGGGGCGGTGGAGCTTCGGGCGGCGCTCGGCGGGCGGCGGGCGTGGACGTGCGCGGGTGAAGTCGGGCCTGTCCCTCTGCAGGAGGAAGGTTCAAACAGGGTCAAAATGTCGTCAGGGGACGTGCATATATATGTATATATATATATACACAGACATATATATATATATATACACATATATATATATATATATATATATATATATATCTGTGTGTATATATATATATATATGTATACGGGGAACGGGACCTGGGGCCGCCAGATTGGGACCTCGGCCCCCCATGGGGGCCACGGGGCTCCAGGACGCTCCCGGGGGCCCGAACCTCGACCACAAATGTGGAGCCCGGGGCCCGGGCCGCCTCTGAGGGCTGAAATCGCCGTCGGAAGCCCTCAGACAGCCGTCCCGGCAGCCCTGGACGTTCAGGAGAAGTTCCCAAGACGCTTCAAGATGCCGCCCTAGAGCGGCCCGAGAGGCCCAAATCGTTGATTTTAAATTGTTGTTTCAATGTTTTTGGCTTTCTCCCTGTTTCGGCTTTCCGACGCTCCACGACCGCCCCAGAGGCTCCCAAGACCGTTCCAAGAAGGCCCCAGAGGCTCCCAAGAGAGCCCCCAGACGGCCCCAGGGAGTCCGAAAATTGCCCCAGAGAAGCCCCAGACGGCCCAAGAGAGCCCCGGGACAGGCCCAAGCTGGGCCCCAGAGCGGGAGCGGGAGGCCCCAAGGCGCTCCAGGACGGCCCTGATGGCCCCAACGTGGCCCCAGATGGGTCCAACACGGCCAATACACAGCCCAAAAGCCCTCCAAGGAGGGCCATCGATCAGACAGGGGGGGATGCCCCAATCGGGGTCTGACAAATCACTTCTTGGGCCGCTTTTAGGCCTTTCTTGAGGCGGTCTTTTCTGCTCTCGGAGCTGTATTTCGCTCCTGCTGGGTCCCTTTGGGGGCCGACTTGGGCCCATCTTGGAGCCGCCTTTGGCCTTCAGAAACGATCAGAATCGACACTGGGAGGAGGCAAACATCAGAATATTTCGAACGCTTCGGAAGGAGTTTGATTTCTTGGAGGTTTCCCTAGGGTGCTGGGATGGCACTGCGGGCCGTCTGGGGGCGGTATTGAAGGCTTTTGGGGGGCGTGTTGGAGAAATCTTGAAACCAGTTTCGCACACTTTAAACGATCTTTGAGGCCCATCTTTGGGCTCGTGGGGGCCTTCTTGAAACCTTCTGATGCCATCCTTGACGGTCGACCGGCCCGCCTAACGCCCTCGTCCAGGGGGAGGGTGTAGCGGTAGGGAGTAGGGGAAGGTCTCCGCCCCGAAAGGGA